ATAAGGTTAACTCTGGTCCCCCTACTGATGTACAATACAGGGTTACCTCTGGTCCCCCTATTGATGTAAAGTGGTGATAAAAGGTGACCTCTGGTTCCCCTACTGAAGTCCCCTACTGATGTTAAATAAAAAGTGTCCTCTGGGTCACCTACTGATGTCACCCTACTGATATACAATATAAGGTGACCCCTAGTCCCCCTACCAATGTACAATATATGGTGTATTCTGGCCCCCTACTGATGTACAATATAAGGTTACCTCTGGTCCCCCTATTGATATACAATATAAGGTGACCTCTAGTCCCCAGACTGATGTCTCCTACTGATGTACAATAAAAGGTGCCCTCTGGTCCCCCTATTGATCTAAAGTGTAATATTAGGTGTCCTCTGGTCCCCCTACTGATGTACAATATAAGGTGACCCTTGTTCCCCTGCTGATGTACAATATAAGGTGACCTCTGGTCATCCTACTGATGTTAAATATAAGATGACCTCTGGTCCCCCTACTTATGTACTATATAAGGTGACCTCTGGTCCCCCTACTTATGTACAATATAAGCTGACCTCTATTCCTTCTGGTCTCTCTACTGATGTACAGTGCAATATAAGGTGACCACTAGTCTCCGTACTCATGAAAAATATCGGTTGACCTCTGGTCCCCGTACGTATTCATGTACTATATAAGCTGTCCTCTGGTCACACTACTAATGTACAATATAAGGTTACCCTTGGTACAACTGCTGATGATCAATATAAAGTTACCTTTCATCCCCTTAATGATGTACAATATAAGGTGACCTCTAGTCCCCTTTCTGGTGTTTAATATAAGGTGTCCTCTGGTCCTGCTACAGATGCACAGTAATATTAGGTGACCACAAGTCCCCGTACAATATAAGGTGACCCCCGGCCATCCTTCTTAAGTGAAATATAAGGTACACCTTCTGATGTTAAATATAAGGTGACCTCTGGTCCCCCTACTGATGTACAATATAAGGTGACCTATGGTACTTCTGTAACCTCTGGTCATCCTTCTGATGTTTAATCTAATGTGACCTCTGGTCCTCCCTACTAATGTACAATATAAAGTGACCTTTGGTCCCCCTACTGAAGTTCAATATAAGGTGAACTCTGTTCCTCCTACTGATATACAATATAAGGTGACCTCTGGTCCCCCTACTGATGTACAATATAAGGTGTCCTCTGGTCCCCTACAGATGTATAGTATAAGGTGTCCTCTGGTCCCCTTATTGATGTATAATATAAGGTGACCTCTGGTCCCTCTACTGATGGAACAGTACAATATAAGGTGACCACTAGTCCCCGTATTAATGTAAAATATCGGGTGACCTCTGGTCCCCTTACTGATGTACAAATTAAGGTGTCCTCTGGTCCCCCTACTGATGTACAATAAAAGGTGACCCCTTTTCCCTTACTGATGTACAATATAAGGTGTCCTCTGGTCCCCCTACTCATATGCAAGAGAGGACCTCACCCCTGTGAGGTGAAATTCATAATTTCAGGAACTTTTATGAATCGTTCATGAACATTCATGATGTGTTCATGACTGGTTCATGACTGGTTCATAAAGATGGTTCATGAACTTTATTCATGAATATATTCATAAAATGTAGTTCATGAACAAATGATGAATATATAATCTTGAATATTGGTAATTTTCATTTTAAAGACAGAAAAAATGTAGAGTTCAAGGTATTATGAATGTTCATGAATTTTCATGAAGACTAAAATAATTGACAAAAATGATTGACAGAAAACACTCAATACTCTCATAATACAACTTTTGCATGCAGATGCAATTGTTGAACAAGCCCCTGGTATAATTTGTAGTTAATAACATTCTTTCACCATCTGAAAAAATAAATCATGAAATCTCTGAACATTTCGTGTTTCTATTTGATTTTAATTAAACAAACAGTGCATCACCATTGACAGCATTTTTTTTTCAAATTCATTACTTGTGTTTCTTCATAATTTAAATTAAACAGTTATATTCATCATAATGTGCTTTAATTAATGTCGTTTTTCATCACACAACCTTGTTCGACCGAATTTTCTCTAACATCAAACTTTAAACAAGGTGTTGGAAAATGAAACATTCTGGAAAATGAACTTTGTGAGCTTCGTAAAAAAACGTTTTATATATTTATTAACAACTAAAAAATTATATCACTTGTCTGTACTGTACCGTATTATTCCTGGATTGAAACGCTATATACATTTCAATTTTGGTGCAGTTTAAATGTCAAAAGTTTCCCTTGCTTCGTGCGTAAATGATAGAGCACAGACTGCATGGTTGTAAAGTATCTATGACATAATCCACATTCGTATTTTGTAGTTTTAATTCTCCTATGCGTCTTCACAGCTCAGAATATTCTGTCTGAGGGCGAGAGATTGCTATTATCATGTCATAGGGGGCCGCCATACTTGCTATACGAAACTAAAAGTCAATACATGTATAATTTATGACGTAAAAAATTCGAATTCTTCATTGATAAAACTTATTTTGATATAAAAAATTGTATTTTCAGTGAAAAATTATTCAGATAGTGTTTGTAATTTTTTTTAAACAGAAATCTTGGAAATTCGAAACCAACGTATTTCTTAGCTCTACCTTACATTTTTGAATAGGCGCAAACTTTAAAACGCGCGAGACGTTGGAAGTGGGAATTTGTAGAGTGGTTGAATCAGTATTTGTGATCTATTATTTGCATAGTCACTGTGCCGTTTTCGTATTGCATAATTTTATTTCGATCGGGTTCAATATTCTGTTTATACTAATTATGGTAGCCATGCGGTTTGCCTGGTGTTTTGGCTGTTAAGTTTGGTGATGTTGGCCTCCCTAAAGAGTAAGTTTTATATTGTTGTACTTGAATTTATATCTAACTTGATCATCTGTATCTAACAGTAATATGTTAGACGGTGTGACCGTTAGTGAGGGCGGAGCCATGAAGAGAAAATTACTACCTTTTATTGTTTAATGACAAATTAGATAAATTTTGAAATTGTATGTCAGTGTCAGAGAATCAAAGAACAAAGAACTCATTTCTTTAAAAAAAAACTTTTCATTCAAATACATGTAATAAATCTAAGAACTAACTGAGATATTTCATCATGAGACAAAGGGTTGTCTAGCCAGAGCACTAAATGCCGAAGAATGTAGTGGGGAAAGGGAGCGGCATGCACTGAACCAGTAAAGGATTCAACGTACCGAGGCCCAAGTAATGTGATACACCTCGGCCCAACGACACCTCAAACTTTAATGCATGTAACAGTAAACAAATAATCAACTCATAAACTTTTCTGAGCATCATTTCTTTGTCTTTCACTTCTTTTAATTCATATGATTATTTAACAACACTGATCTGGAAACCTCAAGTAATTTCTCAACTGTTATTACTCCCATTACATTAGATCTATCATAGTTATGACGTCATCTAAAGTACGAACAATATTGTCAAGACCAGATCAGAAGACGAACTCAGAAGATCTAAAATACAGACAGATGGTCTACTTCCTGAATGAATCTCATCATCAGACCAAATTTGATTGTGTTACTATCACGAAGGTTGAAAATATAACAGCATCAGAACTTTTATGAGAAAAATTTTTGCAACGGATGCATGATTAGGGACATTTATTAGGTCCCTGTTGTGATATATCTTTTTAAATTTTCTTTTTATTTATTTATTTATTTTTATTTTACATTAATTGGTAACCCATTAATTTAATTATAATGATTATTTTCTTTATTTTAACGAAAAATGTATATTTCACTTTTCAGGGTTTTTTTTTTTTTTTTTGGCTGATGTTAAAACAAATCTGATTTAAATAGTCTTTCGAACTTACTAAATCTAACAGTTAACACAATCGTTTTGAAAACATTTATACTTTTTAATTATCTGAAGAAAAAACAACCTCAAAAATAAAAGTTATTTTTCTGGTATCTTTGTCGTTTAAGACTTGGTTAACCATATAATTTCAAAACCAAAACTTGTAAATAGTAGGGTACACTTCTGAGAAGTTTTAATTGAATATTTAATTTTATCAATGTCAAACAAAAATTCTGAATATTTGCTTCATCATAGTTCATGTTTTTAAAAGTTTTAAAGCTCATTTATTAGGATAGAAAACTATATTGATATGCTTGATGTGTATTACATTAACAGCATGCACTGCAACATTGAATTCATATAACTTAGTGACTGTTTATTTACATGCATTTACTGCTACATGTAGACTGAACAACTACCTCTCCAGACTGTACATCATACATTGTCTAACTTAGTTTTTCCTAATTTTAGACTTTACAGTATATATGTAATTCCACTTGTCTAAAAAATCTTTTCTATATTTTTAAAATTCATATATATCAATTAAGATTTTTCTTTTGATTATTATTTTTAAGATGCTGAAATTTTGTCATTTGAAAAGCTTCATAAAATGAAATATTGAATTTTAAAAATCACAACAAAAATGAAACTCAGACTTCCATCTGGTAAATATTTATATATCTATGTACAAGTAGATATTCATAAAGAATTTGGATACCTAAAAAAAAAATATTCCACACATTTATTGAGTCCCTATATTTATAGACTTTTCACAGGGTATTTGATTTTAAATATAACTTTTAAAACATATTATTTTAACTGTTCAAAAAAAATGTACAGTATGTCTAAAAAAAAAAAACTATATTTCTAGCTTGGTATGTATTGACAATAATCCTGAAGACATTCGTTTTTATTAAATTTTATTAACAAATAGATAAGGATTATTTTCCTTCTACAGTCTAGTGAAAACCGCCACATATAGATCCGCTCCTCAATAGTGCAGACGACAGCGCCGCCCGTAGGGAATTTCTAACCAATCAAATGCCGTTATACTTGTGAAGCGCGAACTATAAATAAATCTAAACGTCTAAATCGAAAGTAGGAAGATGGATTTGATTTTAAGTAAAAAACCATTACTTCTAATTATCCTTGGATTAAATGTTTTTCACTTTTGATAAAAGTCTCATCAACAACGAGAATTTGCGCGTGAATCAAAACGACGCCATTTTACAGGACGCCATATTGGCGACAAGAATCTCAGTTCCATAGGTATTGTAATTGACATATATTTTACAATAGATTTCTTTTATTTTTCATATACATACGTGTTACCTATAGGGAGAGCTTCGCTCTCACGGGCCCTTCGGGCCCGTGAGAGGGCTCCGCCCTCTATTATGCAATATATTTTATCATGTTTAAATTCTGCAACTACAATGTTTTGTAAAACCGCGCATTTCCAGCATGCGATAGGCATAGGCCAGTTCAGCTAACATGTTAAAGTTACGCATTTAATTTTGTATGATTGCTTATGATTTTGATATTTTGTCAAATTCTTATTATGCTTTTGTAATTTGTAGTTTTTCACCCTCTCACAAGGTGTGTCCAATAAACAGTACAGTCACTGATCTTTGTCAACTTTTTAAGAAAATAACAGAATATGAAGAAGGAAGACTATATATAGGATCGATCTACTTCATAACTGGTGAGTGACAAAAAATGGAGGCAATCACTGAGTCAGAAATCTGTCTGTAAATGTTACTGTCTATTTGTAAAATAACAACAATTAAAGCACATTATGAGAAATTAATATGTCTCTTTTTTTTAATGCAATTTTTGTCTAACTTTGCTTTGAGTTTGGATCCAACCATATAACACACATTAATTATAGACTGAGACTCAAAACATTTATAGGCCTGATTGATCTACAAAATGGTGGTCCAAGAAAATAGGCTTAAATTCCACTCAGAATGTTTTAATTTGGAAGTGTCTCTGATGCAAAATTAAATGAAACTAAAATGCAAGAAAATACAAAAAAGTCTTGTTTTACAATCATGGGTACTTTCAGAAAATCTTTCTTTTTGAAGGAAAAAGAGAAGCAGTTCACAAATGTTGATGAGCAGAAGACAAGAAACTCTGGCTGCACAAAAATCTGAGCTCTTGAAAAAGAAAGAAAGAAAAGGATCCAAATGATGAAATTCGGGAAATTCCACATGGAGAGACAATAAGGATTTTTGAATTGACCATCTCTGCTCAAACTGCTTGAAAGTACTGAAAACTGTTACCCTTGTGCTGAACAAACTTTTCTCCTAGACTGGAATTAAAAACTGTTCAATTTCTGGCATTAAAACACAATTTGAAACATGCTGAGGAAGAATCCCCCTCTCCTTTTGACCAAGTAAGGTTAAACATTCTGCAAAGAGTTGCATTTGAATTGAAATTTTTTTTATACTTTTACCAGGAATGAACTACATTACTCATTTACTATGGTTTAATGTGTCAGAATTGTCTATTTTAAGTTTTTTAACAAAGATTTTGTTGCCATGGTTGGAAAACAAACAACATTTCTGTGAAATCTTTCAAGATGCTGTATTATAAATCATCTACTGTTACTTTTTTAGCATGACTTCATGCATTTTCATGAATAAACATGAATAATAATATTGCATTTTTTGTTTACAAATAAGCAAGAATATTCATGAATGCTAATGGTTCATGAATTTTATTCATTCATGAACATTCCTGAAAAAATTCATCAAATTATTCATGAATAGTTCATGAAGATGCAATGAACTTATTATTGGACATTCTTGAAATGATGAATCTTCATGAATATGACTCTTCATGAATTATTCATGAAAAAAAATATTCATGAATATTCATCAATTTTCTTTCATGAATAAAAATTCATGATTTGAAAATGTCCAATAATAAGTTCATAGGATCTTCATGAACATTTCATGAACATTTCATGAATAAAATTCATGAAAAATTCATGGAAATTCATGAATTATTCATGATCGTCTCGCAGGGGCAGTTCCTTCTGCTGATGTACAATATAAGATGACCTCTGGTCCTACTACTAATGTAAAATAAAAGGTGTCCTCTGGTCCAGCTACAGATGTACAGTGCAATATTAGGTGACCACTAGTCCCCGTACAATATAAAGTGACCTCTGGTCCTTCTGCTGATGTACAATATATGATGACTATGGTCCTACTACTGATGTACAATATAAGGTGACCTCTGGTCTCTCTACTGATGTATAGTACAATATTAGGTGACCACTAGTTCCCAGACTAATGTAAAATATCGGGTGACCTCTGGTCCCCGTACTGATGTACAATATAAGGTGTCATCTCGTCCCCCGACTTATGTACAATATAAGGTGAACTCTGTTCTACCTACTGATGTACAATATAAGGTGTCCACTGGTCCCTCTACAGATGTATAGTATAAGGTGTCCTCCTACCCCCCCCCCCCCCCCGAATGCACAATATAAGGTGCCCTCTGGTCTCCCTACTGATGTTCAATATAAGGTGTCCTCTGGTCCCTCTACTGATGAACAGTACAATATTAGGTTACCTGTAGTCCCCCTACTGATGTACAATATAGGGTGACCTCTGGTCCCCCAAATGATGTACGATATAAGGTATCCCCAGGTCCCCCCATTATGTGCAATAAAAGATTACCTTAGGACCCCTTTTGATTTTTAAAAAAAATGTAATGTGACCTATGATACCTCTGATGATGTACAATATAAGGTGACCACTGGTCTCCCTAACGATGTTAAATATAAGGTGGCCTCTGGTACCCCTACTGATGTACAATGTAAGGTGATCTTTGGTCCCCTATTGATGTAAAATATGAGGTTACCTCTGGTCATCCTTTATACTTTCATGTTTCTGCTAATATATATATAAGAAAGTTCATCTATATAAAGTTATAAATATGATTATTTTGGAGTAAGACAAAGAAAATTGTCTATCATTTAAAATTCAATTAATATATAAGGTGACCTGAGGTCTCCGTATTGATATCGATGAATTTACTTTTGTGCCTTTAATACCTGAAGAGTTCCTAGAATGTTTTATTACTACGCAAAATGACGAACTATTTGCGGGGGACCCCAGGTCCTATTTCAGCGTACGTTTTATCCTTCTGCGATCCGAACCCCCCCCCCCCCAACCCTCACCCCGAACATGGTTTATTTTTCCCTAAGCGGGGGACACAAATTCTCTGAATTAGCTTGTTAGATTTACATCAATAAAAAAAAAATGCTAACAGACAAACAAAGAATGTTACTTTTGGATTGAACATTTTTATTTGATCCACTTTCATGAATACATTGTACAATTTATGGATCTATTTTCTGGATCCCTGAGTCTCCGGTAACACTATCTACTCACTTCCAGCATCAACGGTCTGTACTGTAATAATGTATTCTCATAATCGGAAAAAGTGATAAAATTTAAATGTAATAATATTATACAGCTTTGCCTTCATATACTTACTAAGAACCATTTCTAGTTGAGCTTGAGCAATGATGATGAATACAAAGCATGTTTATTGGAATCAATTAAATTCCAAGAGATCTCAATGGTTTAGTTTATCATTTTATTTTAAAAAGTTAACTTTTTTACTAAATGTATTATTTACACGTTTTTCCTGTCTAATTCTATATCAGCTCATCCAATTCTGTTTCTGCTTCTTTCCGAGTTTGGCTTCAAAGTGGCGAATTTCATTCTAAAAACAGAAGTATACAACACAAAGTTGAGACGGTATTGATTTTAGATATTCTTTAAATATAAACTTGTAATAAGAAGGTCAATTGGTTCTAGGTTTTGTCAAAACTCTAAATTGTAGTTTTCATTTCTTTCCAATAACACCCCCCTTCAAGAAAAAATAGAGTATAGAAATTCTTTTCAAAAATTTATGTGCTGTAATTCTAATGATGCTTATTATTTGAACCTAGTTGACTTAAATTAGTGCAGTGGTACCGGTGAAAATGTTAGCTGAATATGAATTTTCTTTCATAAGTAAACACTGGATGACATCAGCAAAAACCTTTTTTTTTAAATTTATTATTTTACTGTGGTATATATACAATTCAGTTACCACTAGTCCATTACATTATATACTTGTCTGTATCACAATACTTCCAAGGTAATCCCCTTTCCTAAACTAAAATATATTAAGTACAGAGTTAACCCCCTGCCCCTTTTTCTTTTTTTACGACGCCATAACAAAAGTCATTCCATTTTACAAATATTTCATAATATCGTTGATTTTCATAAATTCATAATTTTTTATGTAAAAAGCAGGTATTATCTTAAATGGTAATAAAGATATCTATTACTATATACAGAATTTTCACGTTCGGCCTGCAGAAACAATCTAAGTTGGGGAATTTAATTTCATTTTAATTATCATATTATATAGTTTAATATCGGCAATATTATCGGGGAGGGGAAGGAGGGGCATACCCCCTCCTCTTGGTTCCTCAGGCCATGCATAATCTTTTCTTTTTAGTTATAAAATACTTAAGTAATGCTAACATATAAATCCATCAGAATTAACTTGAAATTTGCAAAAAAAAAAAACACTTGCCAAGTGTTACATATTTTCCTGCATGGTTAATTTCTGTTATAAATTCTTCAGAAACTGTTGTAATGGTAAATTGTAAAAAATTCAGTCACTAACCGTAATTAAGACTCATGAAAACGCCAAAACTGAGGCTCAGACTGCTCAAAGTTTGTAATTTTCTTCTAGTCTTCTGTACATTGTTATTGAAAACAATGTAAGCAAACTACCGTTTATTCCTCCTATGTTAGAGAGCTATACCAAAGGGAGGTAATTTGAAGCAAAAAAGACAGAAAATTATGGATTTAAATCAGTTATCATATATAAATGCTTTAGTTGCCTGCAGATTTTTTTCTTGATTCTTCTAGGACAAATACTGTTTAATATATATTTTATGTTGATAAGCTTTAATGTGGTTGTAGATTTCTTATAGAGTACTGCAAATTTGCTGTTTTTTAAATCAAAATAAACCTCCAAAAACTAGTTTTATTTATCAAAAGGTGAAGAGAATTTCAATAATCAACAGTTGTTAAAATAGAGTATTTTTAGATAAATAGAATAATTATTTAAAAATCTTTTATTAATGACTAGTACTAAAAAATATTTGTTTAACCATAAATTCAAGTGTCATGATAAAGTACAAAACACGCTATTTGAAAGGCGCGTGGTTTCCATAGCAACAATGCGAAAAATTATTTTTGGCTTGCTTTTTTCTATTATACCCTTTGTTTTGAAAATTTATATATGAGTTTTAACCAAATCTGTTTCTATGCCACTTTCCACATTTTTTAACTAAATGCTCGATGCTTGCTGATTTTGACTCTTAAGAACAATTTCATCAAAATATGTACACCTGTTCCTAGTAATAAACATAAATTTTATTCTCGCATTTAATGCTGAATATTTTATATACAGGGGGGGGGGGGCATGTCCACAACTAATGATACGACTTTCCTGGATGCCTATTACTACTTACAGAAGATTATAAGCAAGATATACAATGTCTTGCAAGCAAAATTATGTCTAAAATTTCATAAACAACATTAGGAGCCTGTGTTGATTTTTATTATTATAACTGCGTACCTTCATTCGTATTTAGAAAATTTGCCGTCAAAACGAATGTAGGAAAATCCCATCTGCATATCATACCAATTGTGCACAAATAAAAACAATGAACGAATAGAATTATTTAATGACATAAGAGCAAATTATTTGCTACGTTTTCTGTAAATAGGTATCAGAAATATTGGAGTTGTACCAATGCAATCAAACCGTATAGTATCAATATAACAACCTAGGTAAAATATATCTGAAATGACTGGCATTCGACCTCGCGCTTGTTTTTACGCATTTAATGGTATCTAACTTGAATATTTGATTATGTGTTTCCTTACCATTTAAAGATTTGATTTTTGTTATTATTTTGTTTGCACACGTTTTAATTCATTGTATTTTTGCATTCAAAGTTGTAACTGAATAGTAATGGGTCTGTAAGATTTCAATTTAAATTGTTAACAGTACACATTTTTTCATGGAGTTATTTTTTCTTGAACGTATACTGTAGGTAAATTATCTCATATGTTTTTTTTCTCAATTTTCCTAATTTTGACTTATTTGTTTATTTTAGATCAATGCCTTTATTTCTTCAATAAATTATCCTGCGGGACGTGGAGACCGGTCCTTCGGATGAGACCGTATAAACCGAGGCCACGTGTCGCAGTAGGTGCTAGCACGAAAAAGATCCCTCACTGCTCAAAGACCCTGAGTGCCCATCATAGGACAAAATTTGTAACCCTCCACCGGCAAGTGGTGGCGTCTCCAGATGTGTGAAAAATTCTCCAGAGGGACGTTAAACAACATACAATCAATCAATAAATTATGAAAACAACATCTGCCTTACTGCTGTTATCAATCGTTTCGGAAAAAAATTAATTTATTTAACTAAAAGTTCAAATTTGTCTACATTTTGTTATGGGTCAGAATTACCCGAAATGCCAGCAAAGATCAATAACACAATTTAAACTTAACAATAATTTATTTACAGTAATATATAATAAATATATCAAACATAAAGTACAAA